TTGATTGGTTCATACGGCTCCTTCGCTGGTTTCGGGAATAAAATATATGAAGAGCGACCCCTACTGGCCCCAAACGGTATTGACTTTAAATCTCAGGCTGCTGACTAGCAAATCCGTATGGTTTACAAGATTAGTGGTTGCAGTGTTGTTAAGACTTAGCCTGCGGATACTGCTTAAAATCTGAGAAATAACCGCAACAATGGCCCTACACATCTAATAACTAAAAGTGTACCCTGTTTAATATTTGCTTATAATACTAAAGGTATTATATAGACCAGGTACATCTGGAAATGCTTGCTCACCCTGTTTTGTTAATTGTCCCTCTGAGCAGCAAATGTCTTTGAAAGTCTTTGTCTTTGTTTTGTTGTGATCAAATTATTGAAAATGAAAACTGATGGACAATAAAAAAGAAAGAGACACGGTATACAAATCAATTATTTAAAATTTATTTCTGTAGGAAAAAAATGAAAATTGAATGAAAAATCCTACAAATATATTTATATTTTACAAAATCAATGCCATTGTCATTGACACACCTCTACATATAAAATTGTAAACATTGTAAAACTTGAATGTCTTGAGGTATCAGCTCATTGGTCTGTACATTGTCATTGAATCAAAATTCAAGTATGTAAAGCAGACATAGTGATGCCTGTATAGATCAGAGCAGTGTACGTTTCAGTACATTTTGTTCCCTTTATGATTCTGAGTTCATTTTAGCCCTTGTTCTTCAGCACTGTCAGAGTCCATAGTCACATTTAGTCTCAAGCCCACAGGAATATGATCTGTAAGGCCAGCCAGCTGGGTAACAAAGGTCACCTCTTCAATTTCCTGTGTGGAAACAAATAGAATGTGTGAATTTATATCAAAATACTGCTCTAACAGGAATGATTAGTATGTTAAGACCACATCTATAAATAACTGACTGTTAATACTTTTGCCAAGTGCAAATGTTTTAAAAAAATGTGTGATATATTTGAGAAAAAGACAGAAGTATGGAAGAAGGAAAAGGCAGAGAGGAGGAGAGAGTAAAACCATAGAGCGACACGCACCGTTCTACAGTTCTTTGAGATGGAGCTTTCACGATACAGAATGTAGTCTATTCGACGTCCGATCCATGGCTGGTCAGCCTCAGGGTAATCCATTTTAAGACCCTTTGCAGGAACAGGAGGGGAGATATACTGCTTTCTCAGCTCCTCTCTCTCCAGAGTTCTACATGAAGAAGACGGAGGGGATCTTTACATCAGCCTCAGTTAGAAGCTGCATACAGTATGTGATGGGTTATTGAGGCTTCAGGAATTGGAACAGAGTATACCTTTGCAGTTTTTCTGGGGTGTTTATGTCATCTTCATAGAGCGTGGGTTGCTCCAGCAGAGTACCTATACAGAAGCACACAAAGGACATATGCGGTGGTTGTCCTCATTTTGACTTGTTTGCATGCAGTACTGACTGTGGTTGAATAATTAATAAAGTATGCACCTATGACCCATGGCTTCTCTTTTCCAGGCCCTGCCCTGCACGGGTCTCTGTATTCCTCAAACAAACAATGACTCTGTTCCAGGGTGTCATCTAGACAAACAAAATAAAGTTATAAATATTTTTAAAACTACCTTTTAGTCAAGAGAGCATATCATAATCAATATTATAATAATATACCAAGAGAAGAAACTTGTCAGAAACACACCAGGTGAGCAGTTATCGAAGTTGAAATCTCCACATAGCACGTCAAAAGCAACATCCTCATCAGGCAGTCTGTTTGCTGCTTGAAAATCACCAATCCACTTGGTTACCATGTTTAACTGCTCACAGCGAATTTCTCCTTCACCTGATTTCAAGAGAATAAAGACCAACTGTTATAGACTGTAACAATGTTTGTTATTTTGACAAGACTTAGAAATGTTGACTTGCCTTCTGGTGCATAAAGATGTGTGCAGTTAAAAAAGCCAACCACTTTCTTCTGTCTCCGATTCTTCCCAATTAGCACCTGAAAATTTAAAACAGATCAATAATATAAGTTGTTTTCATAGTATGAACAAAGCATTACTTGTGACATATCTGTGTTGATCAATAGCAACTTAATACTGGCATGTTACCTTGGCAGAAAGGAGGCCCTTGGCAGCCAGTGCGTCTTCCCCACTGGCGTTTGGAAACCAGTGGTACTGGGCTTCTAGCACAGGGAATCGGCTTGCTACAAACAGGCCACTGTTGAAGAACTTGAAAGAGGAACAGCTGCATGGTGGCTGGCAGGCGTAAACACCAACATCATAGAGTATGTGTCCAAACACTGGTTTCAGTGCTTTGGTGAGCTTCTTTGCTGCCCTTTTATCAAACACCTCCTCTAAGCACAGAATGTCCACGTTGGCAGGAAACAAAGACGACACCTCCCAGGGTGGGTTGTCCTGCTGGCGGAGACCCTGAGAGAGAAGAGCTCGGGGGGCACTACGGTGCCCTGTTTCACCCTGCTGGTTGGAGTTCTGATTTGAATTAAAAAGGGTTGAAGGTGGCTCAGTGGAGGGCTCTTTTGTATCATCACAGGGATCACAAACTACATGACTATTAGTCTTTGGGATAGAAACGTGTCCTTCAGTTGAGTCTGGATGATTACCTACTGGGGGCTGTGTCTGCCTATCCGTAGCCCCATATGTGGATGAGTTACCTGCTGGTAGTATGCTGTTGGAGGGACTGAGAGTACCACAACTGCTGGGGGAGTCAACAAAGATGCGGATATGCGGTCTGCACACACCATGCACAATGTGCTGACCAATTGTTGCGGCTCTGTGTTGGGTGTGCCCCAAATTGTTGAAACGAGCAATGCCGTCAGGCAAGAGACACAGGTTGGCTGTGGCGAATCCAAATGATGCCTTTCCTACCAACTCAAAGCCCCTGTGTATCTCTCTCTCCGGTGAGGAGGGTATCTCTCTATGGTAGCAAAATGGCCTTCGGCAGGCCTGCAGTGGTGCCCAGAGCAAAAAGCCCAGGAAGGCAAAGGGTGCTGTAGCAAGAAAAAGAATGAATAAGAGAATAAATCCGAAGAAAACCTTGAGGGGGTGGAGGTAGCATTCTTGCTCCACTCGCTGGCTTTTCTCGAGGGTGGTGGACTTAAACAGAGCAATGAGGCGATCAAGAAACCAGAAACAAGGCAGGATTAAAGCCCATCCCACATCATGGAGGCATGCAACAAACCCATTAGGAAATGGAGACGCTTGCAGGGCCATTCCTGCCCTTCCCTATGCAACAATCAGGATGAAACACAACAGGACTGGGTGGTCAAGCCTGTTTCCAAAGCCAATTGTCTCCTTCATGGGCTCCAATGGACACTAAGACACAAACAAATAAATGTAATGACATGGTTGTTTTAGTGAATAAAAGCCAGACATTCCTGCATGGGTTCTCAAGAATGATGGGCTTTTTGTTCTCGCGTTTAGTTCAAGCCCATGCATGCCACTGTAAAAACTGCACTGACAGTGCTGTGAAATACAGAGGGAAGATCGGGCTGGTTTACACACAGCAGGATTATGCAATGCAGTATGATGACTTAAGGAGGCACGGAGAAAAACACAACGTAAACAGCTTATAATACAGCCGTCACCATCTGCACAGTAACCCTTACTAACCCTAACCCTTACTACAGACATGAAACTACAACAGTGTGTCTGAACACCACACTTCAGAGTGTGTGGATATATTAAGCACATTTGTGTCTTTATGTTCCAATAATGCAAATATTTTTTTAAAAACTCGACTGATTTTTTTCCCCCAACATAATTCGTCACTAGCAATACAGTAACTAAGAGAAAATAATGAGAAGAATTGCAGTAGTCTGAATGTTGTATGTAGTTTTATGTTTCAGTGTGTAATGACAGTATCTCGACACAGCCATACAACCAACCAGATTACAACCTGGAAGTTGCAGACCCACCCGAAAGTATAGCTGCTATGAATTAAACCCTCCTGAGTTTCTTTGTCATGCTTAAGTCATGCGAGCTTCCTGCGTCATCACGTCACTCACACAGGTAGGTGAGGTGGATGTCGCCAATCATGTTATCGCCTGTTGAAAGGCATGCTAAGCTAAATTATACTTAATACATGATTTAGAAATACTCTAAAAACCCCGGAGCTGCTTTTATCGTCGTTGTGTATAATCACATATCGCCCCTTTGCCATTATACCAAGCGGCTGCTGAAACTTCAGACTTATTTAATGATTAATGCATTTGAAGTTATAAGACAGCTGTCACCTGTCCTGTTGCCATGCTAGCTTAAAAGACTCAGCTAACGTGGCAGTGCACAGTCTTACCTTTGCAGGGAAGCTGGGGCAGTCCGTCTGATGAGTCCATACCGCGAGCGAGCTGCCCATGTATTTATTTATTTCAGTCACATATTCTAAAGGAAATGTCCTTTCTTGTGAAACAGTTCAGTGAAGTGGTCCCCCTTTGAACATTAGACCACCGTGCTCCAAAAGGCTCGAGCCATTGTGAAGCCACGCCCACTGTGACGTCGTCATGGTTTGTAGCTCGTCTGGCAGAAGCGCTTACCTGAGTCGACCTGTTGTTAGGCTCGTAAGATGATGATGTGTCCTACTAACTAAGTAGTAGGAAGGAAGCAAGTTCATTTCCCGTTGTGTTGCTGTCATTGCATGTTTTGGCAAAATGCGTATTAAAATAAAAATAAAATAAGGAAAGCCTCCTGCAGAATAAATCGATGATGCAGGCCTATTGATGATAATCTAGCTTGCTTGCTAAAATAGAAATACAGAGAAGTGAAAACAGGAAGGCCAATTACAGTCACCCAAATAAAATATTGAATATCGTTCAAAAATGAAAGTAGGCCTACTCACTTGCCTTTTAATTGTTGCTCACTAATCCATGCTGTGGTTCTTATATTTAAGGTTAAGACATAGTACTGTCTTATGGGAAATTATTGAATATTGGTTGAAATAGCAATCCACTGCTAGGGAATTGTACTACCCAAGGAAATCAGAAAAAAAGGATGACAGAATGCTATATGTCTGTATTGCTCCTGTAAGGTTTGCTGGTCAGTTTAACCTTGAAAATCATATAATGTATCGTGCATATATTCTGTGTATTTATTTAGAGTTTAAAAGCTTTGTCTGTGTATACAAATTCAGCCATACAAAATGTGTTACGCTTCAGTATTTATTTCCTGCTTGGGGACCATGGAAGCTTGCTCTATTTTTCTCCCTTTTCGAAACGGTCACATCTACCAGAGAAGAAGAGGCCTTCCATCTCTCTGGGCCATGTTGCAAAGGCAGGTGAGCACAAGCAGCAGGTCCTTCTGAAGTTTTCCAGGTGCTGTGGTCATTAACACCTTCTTCAAAAAGTCTGAATTATTCAAGTGCATTCCCTGGTTGCTGTGTTCAACAGGCCTCTCTCTCAGGATCCCAAAGGTGTTCACAACAAATTCCGTAAAAGCAGGGTGAAGTGCTGTTTTATACCCGAGCTGACTCAACCTCTCCATGAGGTCAGCATACCTCTGAGTGAGATGAAGCCGATAGCCCTCATCTACCTTCCCTGTCAGTGGGTGTGTGCTGACCTGCAAAGAGAGAAATAAAGGCTTGTTACTTCCCTAGAGTCAGGGAAAGTCGATCTTCTTCTCAGTATTGTTTGTGTAAATTGACTGATAAACTGATACATTTCAGTTAGATTTATCCTCAACAGCCCAGCCATTTATTTTCCATTTTTATTTTCTCTACCTCTGTGATCTTGTTTGGTATGTTGAGCAGTGTGAAACCATAATGCCTCCTATGGCCCTGGAAGATATAAGAGAGAATCCTCCTGTCCAGTTGAAAAGCTATCTCTCCCAGCAGCCTGTTTGAATCTGCAATGATATGATAAAAGACATAATAAAAAAAATGGGGTTTTTTTGGCAACAGAGCTGGTACTGTGGAAATGTGTCATGCATCACTTACCTTTGACATGAAGAGAAATATCTGCCTGGCAGCTCTGAAACTCTAACGTCTCACTTCTGTCCGTGTGCATCGAGCTTTGTAGGAAAGATTTGAAGTTGACGGGAGATGAGGTTCGGTGTTCATGTTTGACCTTTGTTAGCTTCAAGTCCTTTCTAAAATCTTCCTCTTCACAGGTGTTCTGCCACAGGCAGGATGGTTTTCTCCCTGAAGTCGAGCAAACTGATGAAACATATGAACATTTTATTGTTATTTATTAATAAAGACAAGTATTAGGATATGTTTAAAGACAGTCACTAAACATGCATGCTTATATCTCATCACCGCTTTGATATGCAACGACCTTCACTCTTTAACACGTGTTTAAACGAATCAGGGTCTGATTTGAATAGTTTTACATTATTAAAGATTTTTGACTGGTTATGAAAAAGACTGAAATAATTATTGATGAATTTATATTACATGCAAAAGCTAACAAGACCATAAGCATTGAGATTGGTTATTTTTGTGTTGTTATTAGTAATGCCTGAAACTGCTGCTGCTACTGCTGGTAGGTGTCAGAGGAAGTAATTAACAACACACTGCAGAAATAGCCTCTTTGAAAAACATTTTCCACAGCAAATACGATGAGTGATACATTTCACAGTTAAAGACAGCATGATGACATTATTTTGTTAAAAAATACTTCTTAGCCATGGATAGGTCAAATTCAGCAAAGAGATGAGGTACTTTGTCCACACTTTGTCCACAGTTGGCACTAAAATCAACACAAACCAAAAGTTTCTTACTGGAGCTTTAGGAATGTTCAATGGTCTAATGGGGAATTCATTTTCCTTTTAGGGTGCATTTTAGGCTCATATGGATTGAGGCAGCTCACTTTAATTTTGTGTTTTGAGTCCCATCACATGTCTGTTGTGATCCTCATTCAAAGATCTTCTGTCTGGTCCATAGCCTGGATCAACTTTAGAAGCTCCTTTCATGACATGATATTTATTGTGTCACTTTGATTTACACCAAAACAATTTTGGCTTAATATCATCCAGTTATGTCATCGAAAGATTATGAATCAATCAGGACAGATGGGCCAAGAAATGGAGATTTGTAACTATTTCTTAAGAATTGAATTACTAGAAACAACTAAGATCACATTTCTTCCCTTTCAATTGTCATTATGAAAAGATACAGCAACATACAGTTGAGGTCTACTATAAAACCGACCTGATTAATAAGTCTTTGTTTATATTACAAGTATGCACACGTCTTCACCCCTTCCTAAGAATCTGAACTGCAGCCTGACTGCCATCTAGTGGCAGAGAAAAAAAACCTCTTACCTGGTAATTCCTCACAAGTATTTCCATTGAAGCTCTGCGTCCTAGCTCTCTCTTTCTTCAACTCGTCAATTTCCTGCTCGAGTTGTTGGTATTTTGACAGAATGCATCCAAAAGTTTGCTCCAGGTCCATTTTTAGGCTCCCAGTTTAACAGCTGAGCCCAAATGCCCAAACACTTTCTGAACAGTGACAAAATCAAATCACAACAACACAGAGTTCTCTTTGTAGGATTCTTGCACTCAGTACAAAAGACAAGAGAACAAGTTTAGAAAAAAACGTTTATAGGTAAGCAATAAAGATAGCACTTCAATATAATTGCATTTTGACAAAAAACCCAAAAGGTCGAGCATTATTAGCTTTGTGTACAGCTTTCAAGCATAACTCACCGTCTTCACCAGTTGATGTTACTTACTTTGTTGTCATGGCAACAGACTGTGCAAGCACAGCAGCTTTTTGGATTTTGATCTACTGCACTTTTAAGCGCTTCTCACTGTTTGCAAGAATTCAGATTAAGCAATAATGATCATTTTAAACCTGAAGATAGTCCACTTACTGTTTCTCAAGTTTAAAGCCCATAAAGGTCATCTGCTGAAGCAGCCTGCATTGAAGAAGTCCTAGAAGTGCAAAGATAAAACACAACTGCTGCTGAGCTCTTGATGCTCTTAAAATGATTTCTTTCGACATTGCCCTTTTTCTAAACCAAAAAAGTTTGTACAACAGTCATACATCTCATAAAAACTTTAATCCCCCACTCCTCAAAAAATACACCACATAGACATCTATTTTTATTACCATAGAAAAGAACATTTACAGAGTGAAGACAAAAAAAAAATGATTTAAACTATGTGGTCAGTTTACACTACAAGACAAGATAGAAATCAGGATTATGGAAAATCACTTCTAGCTATAAACTCAAAAATGTTTTCTTCTGATACTGAAACATTTGATCCTCCTGTTTAGCTTCCCCTGGCCCTTCCAATGATAGCGAGAATGTAGAGGAAGATGTTGATGATATCCGTGTACAGGTTAAGAGCAGCGAAGACGTATTCCTCTGGACTCAGGGACAGTTCCTTGTTGCCAAGCAGCAGCTGTGTGTCCACCGCCAAGAACTGTAAAATAGAGGAATGCACAATGGGTCAAACATTAATCTGGATCTAAAATTTGTGAAACATTTCTGTCACAATAGATTTTTTTTTATAATTTTGCATTTTCTAAGTTTAAAGAATTGTCTCTCCCAAATTACAAGACACACAAACTTCTTTTATCTTAACAATACAAAGAGTTTGTTTTTGTGTCAGGTTTGAGGACTCTATAGAGCCCTCAAACCTGACACAAACACCTGTCACAACTAAAACGTGTGCTAGTCGAGTGGGACAGGAAACATGCTAAAGGAGATAAGCATCAAAAGACCCTCAGACTTCAAGTCAAAGGAGTAACCACGAGGCTACAGCCAACAGTTCTAATGGTGAGAAAATTCCCAATGTTTGTTTATGATAAGTTCAGGTTAGAAAACCTGCATACAAATAATAGATAGCAAAGCAACACAATACCTAAATGACCATAACAGATAAGTCAGATGACTGTAATCACTACTAGTTGACAACTGAAATAATTTTGAAAGAAATGACAACTGAAATAATTTTTGTCTTTATCTCTGCAAGTGGTGTACCCAGACGTGATTTCTGAGTGTGAGGTCAAAATTTTGTTTATTTCCTCTGTAGAAAGTCATTGAAATAAGATCTGTTAACAGCATATTTGCAGATGAAACAGACACAATTTCTGGAAACTATAAATGTCGTGTTTCCATGTTGTGGTCAAAATGCCCATTGTTTCAAATCACACAAAATGTGACTTTCAAAGCATCTCAGGGTTGAAATTGAAATGACCAGAACATCAAAATACTTTCAATCCTTCAAATACTAAGTACTAAGAGATAAAAAGAACAAGCTGATCCGTACCACCTGTTTTTTTTTTGTTTTTGTTTTTTTACTGTTTTAAGAATTTCAGCTGGCGAAAGGAAATCAAACTTTCTCTCAAAATATAACAGGTTTAAGCTATTATTAACCATATCAGATGATTTTCTCATTATTTCAATGAGAAAAAGCCCCAGAGGTGTCTGCAGTTATATGCTATTTTTACAGCATGTGTGTGATCACATGGGCCTCAGATATACTTTCAACATCATCATCATCATCATCATCATCATATCAACTCATTTTCTAACTTACGCAGGTGAAGAGTAAAGCTCCCAGCCCAGCATACACGATGTGCAGGATCCTGTCACGGATGATGATGCAGAGGAGGCCGAAGAGGATCAGGACAATTAAACAGACGAAGAGCACACCATGGCAGGAAGTGAAGTCGCACTTGGTCTGTGGGAGGAGGCACAGAGCGTTACTAAGGTTACCATCACATCAGAATGTGACGAATGTACACGGCATTCATACAAGAGGCAGGGCAGTGACGGATACCGACCTGCAGAGAGAAGATGACCACTGTGAAGCACACAACTGCCGTGATGCCCACAGCCATCACCACAGTGTCAGTGTCATGGAAGCTGGCGATCATTCCCACCATGTAGGACATGCTCAGAGTCAAAACGGACTGCAAACACAAAACACAAATACATCACAACGGCTGCATAATGAACAGAGAGATTTAAAATCTGTGTAAACTGTTGAAAATGTGGAAATCTAAGAATGTTTCAAGTCAGATCTGATAACACATTTATTCACTTCCTCAGCTGTAACTCCTCCCCTCTCTGTTTCCTACTGTAAAGAAAAAGGGTCAGAGCAGGCTTACTAATGCAATCAGGTTCCAAGGGTGTCTTCGGCGTACACTTCCACAGCAGCTGATAACGCAAACGGAAACAAAGAATATCCCGTAGGACACCAGGTATGTCCAGGTGTTCACTTGGACAAACACCTTGACTTGGTCCACGAAGGTGAAAACAGCCACAAAGGCAAATGTCACCATCAGCTGAGCCGTCAACACCAAGAACACCTGCAGGGAAGAAGAGTGGACAGTAAGGCAGCAGTCACAGATGGATCAGATTCAGAGAACCTGACTGACTTCACCTAGGAGGTTGTACATGTTTGTTGCATGGAAGTAGGGTTGAGAATTGGAGGTTAACCTACGGTGTCATACATGGCCCACAATAACATATCACAACACAGCAGTTATGCAATAAATTATATATTGATGTATTTGTCTCACCCTTTAAGAGCAGCAGATGTCAAAAATGTGATTTCAATAACATTTTGTTCAAAGAGGGATACCAGGAATTACATTGTTGCAAATTTCCCACATTGTTTAACATTAAATGAGTTTGCTCTGCTGCATGTTAATCATGTTTGTTGATTGTTAATCTCGTCACGCATCCTCACACACTGCCTACATCCCCATACGTTCCATCAAACGCAGCGTCCCCTTACCTTTCGAATAAAGGCTCTTCTTATGCTCTTGTTATCTAATCCAAAATCAAAGTCTTGGTTCTCATGAAAGGGGGGTGGGTCCTCCTCACTGCGGTAAACATCATCTGAAATGGCACGGGCCAGCAACAGAAATCATTATTCCTCATCCCAATTGTATATCAAATGTTACAATTTCAAAAACACCTACCACTGTAGTTACCAACATTGTCCTGGCCTGGTGGGAAATACGGTGGACAGGAGGGTTTTTCACCGTATCCTGGGCCGCTTGGGGGATGCACAGGCATCCCAAAAGCTCCGGGAACACCCGGTCCAAAGGCAGTTGGTGGAGGGAAAGGTAGACCACTGGGGACAGGGAGACCACCAGGCACAGCGGGGCCTCCGTACATGTTCTGGCCCGGCATATTCATGTTGTCAAACCCGATGGGAAACGCTGGCTGCCCCGGGAGCGATGGTGGAGAGTGTTCCCCCTGCACGGGAGTGTACTCAGTCTTCTCGGTTGCCATCTCCGTCTCAGATCGGGAGCAGAGACTGACTGCAGTGTCAGATCAGCAAAAGCATGCAAATAACTGGTGAGACAGTTAATAGTGAGCCGTTTCAAAGAGAAAAAATAAGACACAACGACTAAAAAAAAAAGGTGGATTACAGCTGACAGGCTCCCAAAAAGAGACACGATGCAACGTCACGAGTCACGTGACAGTTCTAACTTCCGGTATACATATCAGAATTCATAAGCGATAGGTAGTCCTACCTGGATAGAAACATTAACTTGCATTGGTTCCACACGTTGTTCTATTTATCACGTATCTAAAATGTACGAATAAATACACGGCCAGTCAACTGGTTCGAGGCCATCGATCAGAGCTCCGAGTTCTCACGGAGATTCCCGACGAGCTGTGCGGCTCGGCCGAGTGTAAAATTCATGCCACCAATTTCCTCATAGAGACAAGAAACTGTCTTCGGCGCACCACAATGTACATTCAACGGTGTTGTCTGAGTCGATAAAGAACCGAGATAACTGCAATGTTTTTTTTTTGTTTTTTTTTGTTTTTTTATCATGAACGAGCTACAGAGATTTTCTTTGCACCGTACCACGCAACACAGCCATGTTTTTACACCAAACAATAACGCTGTTAGAAAACTGAGAACAAAGATCAAACAGATTTGGGACAGCGTCAAGTCTTTTCATGCTACTTACCTTGCCCGCAATCGAAGTTTTGACCCCCAACTCGATTCCCGACCAGTTATTTGTGCTGTTTTGTCTGATCGCAGCTTCTGTCCCTCTTTGATCCTTCTCTTCTCTCTTCTTTTTTTTTTTTTTTGCTCTCCCTCTAACATCCAGTAAACTGCGTTAATTCCTGCGTCACCGCCCCCAAGATGCGGAACTGAGCGGTGAAGAGGGAACAAATTCCTTTCACCGCTTGATCTCACATCTCTGTTTGTGATTTACATTTCACAGCAGGTCGATTGTAAAAAAAAAAAATTACGAACACATTGGATGCTTCTTTGACTTTATGTCGCCTGCATGTCTTCCCACGGTGGATTTATGTATTTATATTTGACTTGAAAGCTGTCGCCTAACATAGAATGTAAACATTATGTTACGTGAACATGTCTGTGACTTCATGAACTGTTTAGGTCATTTTGAAAATGAAAAAAGTGCCTTAAAAAGGAAATCAGTCTGAGTGGAAAAATTCATGACAACAAGTAGTTAACAAAGTGAGCCAGTAGGTGTCAGGAGAAAACCCCCAGGGCCCACCAGGAAGGGTCTCTAGACAACTTAAATTCCATTGGACCTGCCAGAGAGTTACCCACATGCCCCTCTGTCATACCCCAGAGAGGTCACAACACGTGTCCAGCACACAGCTCTGCATAGACACACATGTGGGGGTGTATCATGAAGGCTTGTCAACAGGTGTAGAAGCAGGAGAAGGACAATGGGGGCTTTAACACAGTCTATTCGGGGGGGGGGGGAAGTTGAGATAATGCTGTATGAAATTCAACTTTAGCCCTTCAAAACACTTCACGTTATTATTGCAAATGGCTCTTACATTATGATGTATGTTATGCAGCTTCTATTTACCACAGCTGTGTGATGTGGTAAGGTGGGAATAATAGGAAGCCTCACATTTATCTTTGCAGATTTTAAACGTGAACAGAAGCACGCATTCAACTGTCAAACAGTGTTTCAAGTGTAGACGCGTTTACAATAAAGTGTGATTTGATACTAGGCAGTGACATGGGTCTTCTGAAACATAGGATTATTTTACCATTTTGGTGTTGATCTCTTCTTGTAATTGTTTAGAATTTCATTCTCATGCTACGAGATGATCATTCAAGTTAAACATATAACATGAAAAGCAATGATTAGCATTGTAGATGGACAGAAGATGATATAGGGCTATCATGGTGCATACATTAATGTCCCATCTGTAACAGTTTTGTATCATTGTATTCTCCATTAAATCATTTCATCAAGCAAATCAAAGGCTGTGGGCAAAAACAACATTACACGATGGAGAAGCTAAAGTTAGATTTCCTTTTATTTCACTTATTAAAAGGTTTGCATTATTTTGAGTCATGCATTAGAAAGTGCAAGGGGGGAAAGGTGAATTCCTTGCATTAGAAAACATCTAATGTCTAATGACACCAAATGTAAAAAAAAACTTTAGAAAGTCAACAGTTTTCACAGCGTCCTTTATCAAACTGCTCAAGTATAAAAAGAGATATTAAAGAATTAAGAATCTATTCGAGACGACAACATCAAATCTACAGAAAACAGAAACTCCTGGACTTTTTGCTTCCACACATATTTTGTTCTTCATACACAGTGTTCTGCTTTGTCATGCCTAGTTTAGACATCCTTCATTTGCTCTTGATCAGAATGCAGCAGCACATGTGGAAAAGTTCTATAGTAGGCTTCATACTGACATGAACACAAAACAAAGTGTTTTTTTTTTTTTTTAACTGTAAGGCTCCATAATAAATACATAAATAGCATAATTTAAAAAGGCACATTATGAAATATTTAGTCAAAATGAAAATGAGAGATTCACATTCAACAATGGTTCTTCCCATTTGCTGAGCTTGCTTGAGGTGCAGTTTAAAGCGGGAGCTTCCGCTGTCACTCCAGCATTTTGTCGTACATACAAAGGTGTCTAAACTATCTCACACCAAACTGTTATAAAATAGGAAAGAATCCAAACTAAACACTGACTGCTTTATCAATGTCTGCATAGCTCTACCGAACAACTGTTCCAAAACTATGAAATAATTCAGCTTGCATGATGGTCTGGCATGCAATCATACAGTTGTAAGTGTTTTTGTTTTTTCAAAGTGTTGGGGAAGAAACTGGATTATAAAACATGAATGTACTGGGGATTTTTTCTTTACAAATTCCACTGCAATATATATACACTAGATAATCTAGTAATGGTTGACATAAGGGTAAAGTGAGTCTCCTTCAATTAAAGTTAAATATTTTACTGCTGAATAAATATTAAATATTCATTTATATTCAATAATGACAAAATACTGATCTCACAAAATTGACAGTAATGACTCATTTGTCTCCACATGTTTTGGTGATTTTGTTCGGGCTCTTTGGTAGAAGAACTGCTAAGTCAAAACCTGGGAGTGACAACCATCATTCAACCTCGTCGGTCTTCCCTTGCCTCATGTTTCCCTCTTCACGGTAGGGGTGTGACCGCCTGTGCTGTCTTCCTTTAAAGTAATTTTCCAGGTTTCACTGCATGCGGTCTGTCTGCAGCTGCTGAGGCTGGTACTGGCTGAAGGCCGCAGCAGCAGCAGCAGCTCCGGGGGTTGCAGCAGTGGCTAGTGGCTGCTGGACAGTGTATCCATACCCTGCTGTGGTCATGTAGCTTGTTGGTGCTGGTGAGGCAGCATACGGATACTGCTCATATGCAGCAGCTGCAGCAGCAGTGGCAGCAGCAGCCGCAGAGTACTGGGCGTAAGCTGCTCCAGTATAGTCAAGGTATGGAGAAGTGGCAGCAGCAGCTGTTGCTGCTGAAGCTGCAGAAGGTTGCACATGAGGGATCACCATACTGGGTTGGACAAAGGCTTGTGGATACACGTAGTGGGCAGGTACTCTGTAGGACACAAGAACAAACGGGGTCAAAGCAGAGCCACAGCTTGTCATCTTTCCAACCCTGAAACTGAAAAGCAGGCGCCACTAATACGTCAATCCAGTCCTCAGAACACAGCAAATCCATTCATTAAAGACTGAAAACCCTACACAGAAATGAAAAGTTTAGGAAGCAGCAAAACCAAAAAAGAAACACAAGCGCAGCTTCAAATAAAAAAAAAGCACCTGAGTCTGAAACACAGTGAGGCATTAAAAGAAGATACAGCCCAGCTCTGCACCCAAAAGGTTGAACTCAAAACGGTGTTTGACAAAATGCGAGCTTATCGCACAAAACCACAACATATCAGGAGAAGAAGTGGATGTTCTGTCCACATCCGGTCACAACAACACCACAAATACAGGCATGCCCACACATGTTAATAGGTCCACAAACACACAAAAATAGGGTAAAAAGACCTTTGAATTCTTCAGATTGGAGCAGCTAGAGATTGCAGTACACTGCATTGCAATGAATTAACAAAAGCGTATTTTAACAAGTGGCTGATTTATTGGTTTATTAATGAGTTTTAAGTTAACCCTTTTTTTCTTTCTTTATGTGAGTAAAAGTACGAAATGGTGTAAGAGTAGGAGCGCTCCACTGGAAAGCAAAACCCTCTTACTGTACTAGACCAGAGTGTAGTTGGATTAATCCAACCTTTGGTTTCTGGGTAGGTTTGGCCCCACTTTAAACTTGTGTTGAAGTCACCTTCAGTAAATATACTGAGGAGCAGGTGTGAAACTGTTATATCTGTCCATAGACAAGCACCCCCTCCCCCACTTACTGGCATACACCCCCACACAAACATACACACGCCAACTTGATTGACAAGGGAGGCTGGAAGCATGCTATTTTTGCTCCCCTTGTCATCTCCAAAGGACACGCTGATCTCCTTCACTAACACATGGCAGGGCACTCGTCAACGGTAATGGCTGCCTACGCCACTTCACTGTCTCTGTGACTTTCCAGCATTTACTACTTTTATTATCAGACTGAAAGAATCCTGGTTGTTTAGAAAGTTGTGCCTGTATTACAGAGACATCTACAATGAGGCAACCTTTTCTTTTACTCTAGCTGCATCATGATCGCAGACAATGTTTTAAACATAAGCATGTGAATAATTTAAAGCTTGAAACTGTAGAAGCTAACCTGCTGTAGGCGTTCTTTGTGCCAGGACATTGTTTTTCTAGAAACGGCCCCAGGGTTAAAAGGGCACAGCTGACTTAAGCCATCTCTATTGAAAGATATGGGATGAACATTTTGTGGTCGGGGGCTAAATAAAGGTGCTTTGTAAATCACCAAGACACATGGGTAATCCCAAGCACATAACCAAAAGGCTTCATGGGCACATGTCTCGGCCCACCTGTTGTTCACAGGCCAGCAGCCTCGTCCGTGCCATACATTATTAACAGCTCTGCCGAGTGACTCCTATTTTCCATCTGAATTTGAGAGGCCGTGGAGATCACTGTAGCCGCCAGCTGCTGCCTTAAAGTGCCACTAAGATCTCTGTCTCCAAACTATAGTACAGGGAACATTTGAGCCCATGTTTAAAAAAATGCCTCTTTGTCCATTGCAAAGCTAAAGAATGAATCCAAAACTGCATCTATAGTTTATTTTTTTATCATTGAAATTTGTTTGTTATGCAACACCTGCTATAGAAGTGAGCAAAAATACACTACGGGGATTTTCTTTTTCCTTCAGAAAAAAGATATTCTCAGTATTGTGTACCTGAAAATGTAAGCCAAGAGTGAAAGGCAAGGGTTAATAAAAAACCAACAACACAGCATCATGGGTAAGGAAACTGAAAAGGAACTCCAGCATGCAAGCCAGTGTTTGTTTTGTTGCAGGGGACCAAGTTTGAAATCAACAAACGGAGTGATCATCAGCCCCCTTTTGACAACAAAACATCAACAATCAACATCAATCATGTTAACTCGAGACTGGAGTGAATAGAAAAATAAACCACAGGCTAAAGCACAAATCAATCATTAAAAGTGTAAAAGAATCAACACTCCATTACAGAGTTACAGCTCCCTGTATAAAAAAAACCCTCACAAAATCTGCACAAAAAAACATCTTTTAAACCCCCACTCCCCCCACTGCAAGTGGAAATAAGCACACAGTTAAGCTGAACACCACATCATACTGAAAACAAGGCACACACAACTCTATGTACTATCCAAAACTGAAAAAAAAAAGAAAGAAATACTTCCATGCATCTAGTCACCATTTGAGTTTGTTTGTGTATGTCAGAGATTACAGGTAACACTTTAGTGCTCTGCCCAATGCAGACTCAGCTATTCCTCAAATCATCATGTCCCCTCATCAGCTATTTTAACCGTTACCGAGCCTGTCAGATCAGAGAGAGATAGACAACATCAAGTCAAGTCCTGCAGTGGCTTATGTTCACTTCCTTCACAGTCAATGCCAAGCAGAGAGGCACACATCAACACTCACATGTCCTCATTCAGGATTTAACAGGTGGAGGCAATGATGAATGTCAAGTTAACAACAACAACTATCAGATCATATCAGGACATTACAGTGACAAAAACGTTTTTCTTTTCACAATACATAAACACATTTATGTGAGACAAAGTGGATTTATGCAGCTTCACATACCCATAAGGTCTTTGGATGAATGCTGGATGGATCTGAGGCACACCAAATGCAAATCCTGGAACGACAACAGAAATTTGGACCAGTTAGAAGTGTGGTTTAAGTGCGGATTCTTTTCCAATGTCATAGGGAGGATTTTGAAGACATTGTTAGTAGCTGTGTCATCTAAGTTTGGATTAAAGCCATGGTTCAGTCCCTCACCTGGCTGGATGACCCTTGGTTTAGCCCCCAGGTAGGCCAGGTTTACATTAGCTTTCCTGCCGTCTATTATGGGGTTGGGGTCCTTGCATGCTCTGTCAGCAGAGGCCCGGTCTGCCATGGTCACCTGGAAATAAAGGAAAAGAGCACATTTTAAATTAAGCTAAAGAAGATGTTCTATTCTACAGCTTGGTCAATGTGTCCAGGTGGAACCCACGAATATAGGTCACACGTTTTCAGGCCCATATAAGAGAAGTAAGATCTTTTTTTTTTAAGGCAATTCCACTGGTTCTGAGTCGTGTTTGTCACATGTCTTCAACAGTAACAGATAACCCAATTAAAACAGAGGAGGAAACAGTTTAACCGACTCTTCTTTTGGATGCCCATACTGGATCAGCTGGCCATATCCCCGACTGTGCACGTGCTCAAGCAACTTAGAAATGGCAACTCAAAACAGCCCGCTGCCCCCCCGGCTACTTACAAATCCATAACCTCTGGATTTCCCCGTCTGTCGATCTGTGATGACAACAGCCTCCTCGATGTCTCCAAACACCTCGAAGTATTTCCTCAGACTGGAGTCAGTCGTGTGATAAGGAAGACCTCCCACAAAGATCTTTGTGAACGTGGTGTCTTTCTGCGCCGAGTGCATCATTTGTGGAGGTGTATGAAAAGTTCTTTTATAAAAGTTGTGAAGTCGAAATGGAGTGAGGAGACGCGTTCAGATCAGTTGCTGGAGAGAGAGAGAGAGAAGAGAGAGAGAGAGAGAGAGAGAGAGAGCGTGGACACACAGCCCCCCTGTGATGTGACTGGAGGAGGAGGTGGAGGACACCTGTTAGTTTGTTGCGGGAGACTTCCCAGTTGCCACCAGTGTGTGACACAGATACTTGACTCCACCCAGATCCAGACCACCACACTGTGCTCAGGCTACCTACTGTCGCACAGCTGCTAAAACAGAGACAGGGACACAGAATGAGTGTGGAAAAAAAAAAAAACTCCAGCTCCAGTTAATAGACAGCCACAGATTGCAGGGCTGAGTTTGAGAAGAAACAAAAGTAAAATCGAAGTTATTTGTTCTCAGTGTGTAGATAAAAGTGTTGTTTAAAACAAATACGACTCCACAGTGAGAACTCACACTGTAGGCTGCATTCTGTCCGTCTTTTTTCCCCCCCTTTTCTTTTTTGCTGACTCACAGCCCCACACTGCAAGGTAGTAGGCTTATATTTTGTTTACAAATAGTATCATATCATTACATTTTTTTTAATGTCCTTAATGTCAGTTTAGTGTGTTTGAAAAATAAGAATTTGTTAGATTTCTGATCTAAAGCCTAGGGTCTATAGGCTTTTCCTAGACATTGCTATTGAATAAATTGCTGGAAAAAAATAAATACTAATTAGGTACACGTTTTGAAAACATGAAATTCCACCCCATGGGGACATTAAAGTTAAGTTAAATGTAATAAAATTAGACATCTGGCACCACCAGCCTCCTTATGAAACATCCTGGAAGGACCATGCAGTTTACCAGCATTTAAACAACAGTCATTTGCACAACTAATAGTGACTAAACCGAAGTAGTGTTGAGCCATCTTTGATTGGTCAACAGATGCCTACATCATCTTAAATTACAGCATGTTGACATGTTTATGTTGTTTACCTTAACGTCGTCAGTTTTGGCTATAAATCTGAGTGACTGGAGACTTCACTGGAGACGTCCAATCCAAAACACAAAGTGGAGAATACTAAATCCACTGGTATGTTGTGTGTACAATGCTTGGCTGAAGCAAAACAACCTATGATGACCTCAAACATTTTCTTGTACAACAGAATCCATAATAGAATCATTTAAAGCGGGATCATATTGAATTTAATTTACAAATGGATGTGAACATTTTTGCAATTTACTGCAAATCTCTAAATTGGTTTTCTTAAATGTTGCCGTCAAGGGGCTTTTTTTCTAGGCTCCTAGATGCAAAAACTGTGAACTTCCCGCTGTACTAAAATATAATGCTTTACTCATGAAACGTAAAAAAAATATACGAACAAAGGTGAACTTGAACAAGCCAAATGAAGAGTCAACACACCACTCTGGTTGTAAATGTTCTATTCTAGAACATCTTGTACCAATTCAAACAGTTTGAGATACATTATAAATACAATGCTGTACATTATAATAGTGTAAATACTATGTTCAAATACATTTCTATTTACAGCTCCTTATGAGGGAGAGCAGCTTTGTTCTCTTCTTTAAAGTAAGGTCTTGGGTTGGTTTCATTTACTCGACTTTACAGCTCGGACAGATAACAAGTTCTAGTCAGTTCCACAGTTCACCACTTCCATTCAAACACAAGTTCATCTCTTCTTCACCACTAACATACTTGTGCACTGTCTTTCGTCACCTGATATGTCCATTACGCATTCATCCCATCCTCCATGAGAGAAAAAAAAATGCATTATTGAGTACCTTGTAACATGTAGTGTTATATATCAGTCCATTCAAATGTATATCGCAGATGGACAATCAGGTAAAAAGGTGGTCAAACATTCAGTCTGGATGGCATTTTAAATGCCCCTGGACATGATGATATCCACACACAGGTTTAGGTCCATAGTTAGTTTAAAACGTAGCGAACTTGTTTAAGTATTCGATGAGTTTCTTAGGGGTTTTCTTCCTGCCTTTGTAAAAACAGGACATGAAGGCATCAGTATATCCCGGCCTTGGACTTGTTCCTCAGGTTAATGTGATTAGAAATGGTTTCTCAGTCACTTGGAAAGCATGTCATCGGTTCAAAATGGAAGACAGTCGGTGAACCCTCAAAAAAAAAAAAAACCTTTCCAGTGCAAGCTTTCAAACAGCAAACAGTCTCATGCTGGATGGGGATTATTTCTTCCACAGTGTTACAGTACTTCAACAGGATAATAAAACATCAGAACTGCAGTCAGACACTGCACTCAGGGTTTTGCAGTTTGTCCTCTGTTCAGGGTATGTGACATTACTCCAAGAGATATGGCACTAAGCTTGACTTTTACACAGATATATATATATAATATATTTATCTCCACGTAAGCACATTAAAAAAATAACATATTACTTATAACAGCAGACATGGAACCGTAGTTCTTTGGTTACCCCTGACGTATCATATTGATGTAAATATCAATGATTTTATTAACAGTAGTACATTCTTATTCTTCATTTCTCAGATTTCTCCATTATGAGCCTCAGGGGAGAATGTATTCTCTTACAAAAATATTACATATAACGCTCAGAAACCAATGTAAGAAAAGGTATGAGGGTAATATTTCCATATGGACTCCCAGTTAAAAGTTCTCTATCAAAAATATCACCATGTAAAAAACCCAGATATGTGCATAGTGAATGTTCAGTGGACAGTAGATTGGATATACCTTCATCAATGCACAGGTCAGAAATGCTTTAAGAAAGCAGAGATCTACAGAATATATCAGCTCGGAGGCTTGAGTGGTCAAAGGGATTGAAGGAGAGGTTTTAGGCACTAGGTCTGAGGACCCAACCTCCTGGTTCCTGCCATTCATAAGGAAGCCGGTCCATCTCTGGGTCCTATCTGATCAGAGTCTGAGGTTCTGTGTCCATGTTGGGTGGTCCCCTGGTGAGGCGAGATGGCTTCACAAACACACCGTGGCCCGGAGGACAGCGGAAGTAGACCCTGTCCTGTACAGTCCCGTTGTGCTTACCTACAAAAAAGAATCGAGTGTCACAACAGTGTTTGATACACAAGAGGCAAAGACATGCAACTTTCTTTTCTACACTAAACATTTGAGCCTGAGGTACTTTGCTTTTAAAGGCTGATGTGAAGGCCTGAATCACAAACCCGCAATATGTTGATGACTCCAACACAACAAAGCTATGATGACTTAAGTCGCCACTTGTGTTTTTAATCGTTTGATTTCTGTGATAATCTTAAAAGAGGATTCCTACAATTTCTATAAAAATATTTGTCAATGCACTGTGGTGGATGAATTAAGTGATGCCACTTTATTTCAGTCTCAGTATACTGTATGTCAGGCTATAATATCACCATCACATACATGTATCTGTCACACTCCACTAACAGAAAGTTGTATTTCAGCAAAACCTATAATGAGACTCACCCACTGCCATGTCCAGCTTCACTCCAATCCAGATCCCCTTAGCAAACTCCACTCCTCCGACATAGTGGACCGTTCCTCTCCTCTTCCCCACCCACACCAGCTCGCCAGGGGCCATCCAGTCAGGAAGCTGAGCCACAGGGGTGCTCTCATCTCCGCTGGAATCGCCCGAGGGCTCTGCACTGCTGGGGTTCGGGCTGGGACAGGGACTCCCGTGGGGCAGATCTCCCTGAGCTGGCTCCTGGATTGGAGGTTCCCCTCCTGCTCGAGAAGTTGGAGCTGAGGATGGAGCTGTGGATAACAGTGTGACTGGGGATGATGACGCTGGAGATGGAGCTGGGACTTTGTCAGGCACAGAGAGTGGGATAGTGTTTGTAATATTTGAACATTTGAAAATAGAAGTGTTTTCAGGATCAGATGTATCTATAATGACAGAGATATCAGAGAGGTTTTTATTGCCTGTATCGCATGTTTTTAAGTTATGTGGTTCCTTTTGCTGGTTTGTAGAGGACTCCAATCCTTTCTGTTCCCATCCTTCTGTAAAACATGCTAATTCCCCGTCTCCTATACTGTCTTCGGCACCTTTAAAGTCAGTGAACTCCTGACTGGCACTGAGTACAAAGTCATGAGGCAGAGGATATGTTTCCTGCTTGTCTGTGCAGTTAGGGATTCTGACAGGAGAGGAGGCAGGTTGACTGAGCAGATCCGGAACCCCGCCTGCAGAGAGAGGGACCTGCTGGGTGTCAGTCCCTGCAGAAACACTTTTGGTTTGAGTGCAGCCTCTTCCAGCATGGCTGCCAGCGGGGTCCTGGGTGTCTCTGGAGGTGCAGCTGAGGTGGTCGGAGCTCTCGCTGGCACTGAATGGCATGTCAGACAAAGTGGCGTTGGAGGCACTGTGTGAAAAGTAGCCACTGGTGCAGCTGCTGGTCGTGGGGCTTCGAGGCACCTCCCTCTCCCCAACCCCACCTCCACACCGGCTTCCCTTTGAGTCGAAGCGGGAGGACAGAAAGCCATCCTGGCTCTCCAGAGTGGCGTTGTAAATCTCAAAGTTTGCGAAGTCTTCTGGGATGTAAGGATGGAAGCTGCTGTGGTCCTGAGCGCCCCGATCGAGATTCAGCATCATGTCCACAGTAGTCTCCTCGTCCTCAGAGTCCTGCTGATGGGAACAACGGAAGCAGGACAAAAAGATATCCCACCACACATGATGTTAGCTAAAGCCTGTGAGGAGCATCTAGACAAAGACTTTTTTTAAAAAGGGAATGAAGTCAATGAAAAAATGGCATAAAATGTGATAATGGAGCATGTATATCGTGTATGAATGATGAGTCTGCTGTGCTCAGCTATTGCATATCTGTTTAGGGTTTCACATGATTGTTTTACCAGTGAAACGAGGCAGAGTGAAAACATTGTAAAAGCTGCTGTCATATGTCTGTAGTCCTGAGCATTTCACTACAGACTCCTTGAAATCCAATGTGATCATCAGCTACCATCTAAACCTATGTGTCGCTACTCACTGGTGATGCTGGAGTTGAGTGAGGCCTAGATAATAAACCATAAAGTGCACCTACAAAAAAAAACTAACATTATTTGATATTTTACCTGAATGTAAAGGAAGAGTGCAAATGCTCGTGGCAACTGTTTTGTTAAAATGCTATTTTCTGTTCTCTCCGCCATTAAAAAAGTATTTATAAATAATGTCAAGTTCTTGGGGAACAAA